ATATCAAAAATCAAACAATGATTGTGAGCTCTATCATCAAATGGTGGATGTCCTGCAAATATTTCCCACATTAACATTCCAATACTATAGATATCAGTTTCTTTTGTGTTCTTTGTGTTATTGCCTCTAAGTAGCTCGGGTGCAACATATGATACAATCCCATAGACTTTATTTGATGATTCATCATCAACTGGTCCACATAATCCTAAATCTGTAATAAAACAATTACCTCCTTGTACAAGCATATTACCACTATGTAAATCACAATGGATTAAATCTTTTTCATGTATATCATCCAATGCATAGCATAAATATCTAAAGATTGCAATCTTGTCTTTTAATGTTAAATGATTGTTTTGCAAATATTCCCTTAAATTTCCTTCTGGAGCATAAGGTAAAACTATTGCATAATTTCCATTATCTGGGAATTTAGTTATACCATAGCACTGAATAATCAACACTGATTTAATTATACAATAATTCATTGCCTATTGAATATAAAACAAATTAGTATTATATAATACAGTATTATTTATTTTGTTTTAAATGACAACTACCAACCTCATAAAAAAAGGCTTTTCCTGGATTACTTGAATTGTTTAAACTTTTTAATACTACACTCTGCCCATTACTTCCAAAATAACTAAATTCCTTTGTATTTTCGTTGTAATCATCAATACTTCCCCTTGTCCATTCCGCAGTATAAATTGAACTAAATCCACCTTCTGTCAATTTTGTTACTTCTTCAAATTGCTCAAAAGGTATCCATTCTAAAATATAGTCTGGCAGAGATGATTTCATTTGAGATTGTTGAATAAAATCATCAATTATGTTATTTCCAGATGTCCAAGTGGTGAAAAGACTCTGTAATTGTAAACTAATACAACCTTCACAGAACCTATCAGAGTATCTCATCAATTTACACTTGTTACATTCTTTTGGTTTGCCCCATTTGTCTCTTGCACTTTTTAATTCAAACTCATAAATAAACCTTTCTTTACAATATTCTTTTTCATTTCCAGAAAGCTCCTTGTTTTTTTTGACTAATGAGAAAAAATAATCTTTCATACTTTCTCTATCACAATTAGTATTAGCATTATTAAGTATTTCATTATGAATTTTATATACAAAATTCTCTCTTTCTGGTGATAATGATGATAATAAGTTAGCATACGACATTATAAAATATAAAATATAAAATTCGACTTGAGTGTTGTTGTATGTGAATTTGAAATTAGCCAATCAAATATGGGGTATATGTACATAATAATAATGATCGACAAAAAAAACACTGATTACCAATTATAGAAAATGAAATTTTTTATTTCACATTCTTTTCGTGTTACAAAACACACATACCGTGCTACGCGAGAATAAAAATTCAATTAAGTTGTCTTCTTCGTCGCAAAGAGCAAAAAAATGACATCACTCGGGCCAAGACAATAGTCTATTTTATTAAATCCGAAACATATAAATAGGACAGCCGTCCAAAAAATTTTTTTTTGTTATTTTTTCGTAGAGAAATTCCTCTCGGGCCATTTCAGCGCACGGAACTCAACCTTCTACATTCGGCCACATGAAATAATTGTTCGTTATTATTATACAACATTATTACAGGACCCCCAAAACCGCACCCATTCATATTCAAACCCATATTAATATCCAAACCCGTACCCAATAAAAATATACTACAGCCGTCCAAACCCGTACCGCAATCCGAGTATGGTCCGGGTAAAATTGCGGGACCCGGCCTCTAATTGGTTTGATTGGTTCTCAGAAAATACATTTAGATCGAAATCCGCGTCCTCAATATTTACTTATAATAAAATTATTTTCATCTTACTTGAATTAAAAAAATAAGATTAATTATATTATATTTGAATATGTTTTGCAACATAATTACATAATTCTAACATCATGTTCATTTATTTTTAGAATCAAATTAGAAATTCATGAATTATTGGACAACCTTCTTCAAATGTTTGGACACACTTTGTGAAAGGAATTGAGGTTAAAAATAGCAAAGGACACTATTCCACAAAGTGTCACTATTGTGCCAAATTTTTTGATGTAAGTTGCTCATGGAAACTCGGAAAGTACCTGGTAAAGGAATGTGGTGGTTGCAATAAAGGGAACTCGTAAATACTATTTGGATGTCATTGCAAAAAGCTGTCAAAAAAAAAAAGAAAGTAATAAAATTTTTTTTAATAAACAAGTTTGATTGAATTCTACAAAAGCACAACATTAACCACAGAAAGGAATGATAATATAATAGAGAATTAATCAGGACATTTCCAATGTGTGTATATCTTTTAATGTTATATTTTATTAGTTACTTAGACAACTTAGGCCTGCCTGCACACCATCTAATAGGAAAGCAATTTTCAGGAAGACTTCTTGATACAGGAATGACTAATATTAATGCTAAAATTAACCTGCAACTTGTGAAGATACAAATGATCATGAATATTGTGAAAACAGGACCTAATGATTATGAAACAAATGATATAGATAATGGTTATTATCATGATGATGAAAACTAAAACAAGAGGAAACCAGTTAAATAATAAGATTAATTAGAAAAAATCATTAGAAATAGGTTAGAAAAAAAACTAGGATTAATTATAAAATTTGGTAGTGATTTTTGATTTGTTGTCAGAAAAGAATTCAAATAAAATAAGCAATTTTTAGTCAAATGTATTTATTGTTTTATTTTCGGTTTAGGTTTGAATTCAGCATGGTTTTTGAATTTCGGTTTAGGTTTCAAACTTGCAAGTACTTTTGGCACATTTTCAGTTTTGGTGGACATCCCTAAATGCATGTATACATCTTTAATAAATTACATTGATTGTAAAAGTAATAGCTACAAGTTTAAAAATACATCTATTAAATAATTTCCTAAATATATTAAAAATTCTAAAAATGGTTTAACATATAAAACATATTCATAAAAAGCCTTAGGAGCAATTTCAAAAAACACAAAAGACAATTGTATTGGCATTTGCACTAGTCCTAGTGAAATAATTAATAGAAAGACGCCAATAAAGAAGATTATAATGCTCAAACCAATAACAGTGAAATAAAAATAAGGCAATATGAAAAAATACATTAAAAATAAATAACCTAAAATAGATGATATAAAAATTATTGCCATTCCTATACCGTATACACTATATACACAAAATTTAAGAAAAATTATCCCTAACTCCACAAAAAATAGTGTTAAAAATTCATTGAGTTTTGGAGATATTTGAGGTTCCCGAGCCTGAGACATCTGAACTTTCCGACGCATTTCCATGAATGTTGCTGCATAAGATAAAATAATAGTAACTATTATGATGATATTATCATATTTAGGATATAAGATCACACCTTGAACAGTTGATGGAATAATCAATAATATTGGTTTTAGAAACTCATCATAATTACTGATCAAAATCATAATTATTTTAAAAATTTCAATATAAAAATTGTAATCTTTTGAATTATTATACAAGCGAACTGCATTTATAAAATTTACAAAAGCTGCGAAATTATTATTTCCTTTTCTAATTCAATCTTGCTTGGCAAAAATCTAAAAAACATTGCTTCAATTTTGTGTTGCAGAGGGTTTTTCTGTATCAGAATGGGCCAAAAAAAAAATATAGTTATTAATCCTTGTATAATTGCCTTATTTGTTTTATCACATCCAATAATCATTCCAATTGTACTGAGAATAATATTCATATAATTTAATAAATATATAAAATGAGGTTCATCAGCTTTTCTCTCTTCATATGTACTCTTCAAATAAATGCAAATGCAAATATCCAATGCTAATAAGAGTACATCAACAAGATATAAGATAGAATTTGATTCATTATTATTAACAGCAGAAGATGAATCAACATCTTCATTAAATAAAGGTGGTGAAGGGGAAATTAGAGCATGAGAAGAAGAAATGGTGGGAGAAGTGTGAACAATTGAGGAAGTGGAAACAATGAAAGAGGAATTAGTTGAAGGAGAGGGTGGAGGTGGTGGAGCTCTAACAATAGGAATTAAAAATAAACATAACAAAAGAATGGTTAATGTGAATTTTCTAGAAAAGAATGTCAGTTTTTTAATATTAAAATTTTCCATTTTGGAAAAAAAAAAAATAACGAAAAATATTTTTTAAATTGAATCTTTCTTTATTTTTACTAAAAAAGAAATATCGAATAAACATTGTTTGTAATTACAATGATTATATGGACCAATTAGACACGCAAATAAAAATTATCAAAAATAATAAATGACATCATTTTATTTACTATTTTAAAAGACATTATCTGTTTCTACTGGCACACAGTGAGAATCATGAGTCTGAAGATTTGGAGTATGCACTAGAACATTCCATGCGTTTTATTTTATTTAATAGAAATTAAAATTATATCACCATCAAATGATCCAATTAATTACACTGGATACCTAAAGAATAGTGATCAATTGTTTCTATAAGAATAAATTTGAATTTTCGGTTATAAATAACAAAAGTTTACTCATTATAAGCTAATAATAATTTATGTAATTTTTTGCCATCTTTTTTAGTTTCAAGGTCATTATTCAGCATCATATTGGCTTGTAAAAGAATGATGGCTTTTTTGAGACTAACAATCTCACCCATGAATTATAAGTACTGCTCCAACATGTAGCTACATCATATATTGGTCTTAATTTTTCTGTATAATCTTCAATTAATCTTTGTTGTTGTCTAAACAGTGCCTCCAACTGTTTCGGGAGAAGTCTTCTCATTACACTTTTTAATACAAAGTTATAATGTATCAGCTGCACAAGAAATTCTTTCAATATTTAATGATTCTTTTAATAAACTAGAACCTGATACCGTATTGCTGACATTATCATCAGTTGTAATAGCAGTGAATTTTCCCTCTAAGTCCCACTTTGATATTTCCTCCACTAATGAATTTTTTATAATTAAGCTTATGTGTGGATGGGGAACATGAAATAAATTTAAAAGTGTCTCAATCAGTTCAAAGTCTTCAGAGAGCCAGGAACAAGTTATACTCGTATATCCATTTTTTTTGGTGTGAAGCAGTCCAAAAATTCGTGGTCAAAGAAGCAAATTGACAGGTATGAGAAGTTTGTTTCTGAATTTCATCAAATGAAATATTATATAAATGTGCTATTGATTCCTTAATTAGGTTTATGTTTGGAGTTTTGAATTGGGAGATTTAGAGAGCAAATGAAATTTTGAAAATTGTGACTTTTCAAGACGTAAAAAGGTATTGAATCTTTTATTAAGAATTTAATTAGATTTTTTAGAATGAAGTTGATTTGAGTTTCAGTTAGTGGTGTGTTAGTTGTGTTAGACTGAATCATCTTCATATTCGTGTTTACAAACTAGATAGAGAGAGATGTTATATTTTTATGTTTAAAATTGATTTAATCATAAATACCTTATCTGCGGTTTTTGGTTTCACTACACCACCATGATGACTTAATAAACGGTAAATAATATTGGTGGTAGATCCTTTTGCAGTTGTGCTATATAGAAAAATATTGACCGCAAATATCTCCATTTTCTTTAGGAACGATACATTTCCATCCATGTGTCTTAGGTCTTTACAGTAATTCCAAATAAAACTTCTTTTATTTTAGTGTACAATACTAGAAGTAGAAGCCAATGAATTGGTTCCTGCTGATGCAGATGACTCATTAATATTAGTAAATGAATCATCCTCTCCAATGTAATACGATGACATTTTTTAAAAATTTTTGATGTAGTTCAAAATGAAAAATGTAGGAAAGATAAATTGCGAATTTAAAAAAAGGCAAAATAATATTTTGGGAGGCAATTCATTTTAACATATAATCAAACAAATAAAATGCTAAAATGGCGCGCCATGTGTTGTCGGTGAAACGATTGTCGGTAAAACGTAACAATATTTTTCAGAAATGTTTATAACAATTTTAAAAATGTAACTGGAATAAAAAAAATCCTTTGTGTAAAAGATGCTTTATCACCACAGGATAATTGACAATTTATTTCTCTATTGTCAAAAATCTTTTTTTGTTACATAAACATCACAGTTTATTATCAAAAAAAAAAAGCCAACATGTCTCTTTGAAAATGTAAAAGATATTTTGTCGCTACTAAAAAAAAACGGAACTGATTTTTTTATTCTCAAAACAAAAAAAAAAAAAAAAAAGCCAACATGTCTTTTTTGAAAATGTAAAGATACTTGATTACTACAGGATTGATTTCTTCCTCAAAAAAAAAGAAGCCAACATATCTTTTTTGAAAGTGTAGACGCTTTAATCACCACAAAAAAAAAAAAAAAAAAAAATCAATTCATTATAATAATTGTTTCTTTATTATTATTGAAAGTCTTTGGAAAATCTAAAGATAAAAAACTGTACAATGCTATTTTTTTAATACTAGATTCTATAACAAAATAGTAATAAGGTAAATAATGCATAAACAATTAATTTCCTTAATTTCCTTGGATGTAAAATAAAGTTTTTTTTGAATGTGTATTGTTAAATATTAAAATAATATATAGATAGTCATAAATGTGTATATATCTTTTCTTTTTTTAGTAATATCAATTATGATATTCGAATCTATAGATTGGCGTATACATTGTTTTTGGGGTTGTCTATAGCCAAAATAGTATTAATACAACTAAAAGTCACGTGTATATACACAAAATCCACAAAGTTCAGCAATAAAAAAATTCAATTTCAGCATTTTGGACAAATTGAGACCATGATTGTCTAAATGTGTAAATTAATTTATACTTTAGACATTGTCTAAATAATTTAGTTTAGACATCCATCTATAGTTACATCCAATAGAGTTTTAAAACTGTGATACATATGCAGGTGCAAGAAAAAATTTTTCATTAACAAACTCATTTTCGGTAAGCCACACACTACAGGTTGATGCATGATGGTAAATAAAAAACTCGATAAAAAAAATATTAACCTTAAATCAAAAATGGTATAAATAAAACCAAAAATCGACTTCATCAAGCTTATCTTCAATATCAAGGACAAAAAAATGAATGACGAATTAGTAATTACCGTCAATGATGAAAAAGAAGAAACTAATGAATTATCAAAAAATATTGAAGATGTCGACAAATCGTCTGCCCATGAGACAACGGAAACTCACGAAACATTTGTTGGATTTTCCAAAGATTTAAAATATGTCTCACTCTACTTTCCCTATAACGACTATGTTCACTTTGCTGGAAAACACATTGATAACGCTTATGAACATTTAAACGATAATCAATATTACGAAATCGATTATAAGAAATTAGTTGAAGAAGAAAAACCCGATTTTCATGCACTTACCTCACGCATTTTCAAATCGATGGTAGATTTTGTATTTTCTGACGACTGCAAAGCTACAATAGTATGCGGAAAAGCTGAATCGTCGCCTGATAGGTTTTTTTTGTAAATAATCGAATTTTTAATTAATTGATCAATGATTGTGATGTTGAAAAAGAAAAATAATTTTTAGAAACGTCAATTAATTGTTTTCTTTTTCTTTGTATAGTTGGGATATGGATTTTATAAAAAAAGATGGCGAGGGGTTTAAATTTAATATCATTTATCAAATGGTATTTTTCAATAAAAATTTGCTGGTTTATGAAGAAAACAAATTTAAAGTATTTTCTCCTGGGGACAATGATGACAAAAAATGGGTTCATACTAAAACTTTATATATTCATAGAAAATTGGGGACTATAGTATCCAAAGATACAAAATTATTTACAATCGATGAATACGGGACGTTAACATATTGGAATAAAGAATTTATTAAGTCTGAAAACGACTTCCATCTACCAAAAGATTTTGATCTTAAATATGTTAAGATAGAAACCAATAGAGACGAAAAATTAATACTAGTCTACAATGATAATCAAATGCTTGTTTTTTCCATGGAATTTGGAATTTTTTTATCGTCATGTAAGTATTTATTTTGCTTCACTCACCATGGAACAATTAATTCATTTTTAATTTTGTTATTTATTTATTTTTTTTTTTTTTAGATAAAATAAAAGTTGGTATTGATTTCATCAAATGTGCGAATTTTATTTACACAAATGATGGTGAGATAGAGCACTTATTTGTCATCATTGGTGGAAGTAATGATAATTTCATATTTATGGAACCATCAAATCTTAATAATACAAACGATATGACCAAGATATATGAGGAATATTTATCTATCAAAACCAATAAGTTTAATGGATTTCAAATACAAGATAATAAACTCATTGTGACATCACACTCTTATTGTCGCGTTTATAATATTTTAGATGAGAAAATAACAAAAAAAATTAGTTACAATCATTTAAAAAGTTTTAGTTTTATTTTTCCATATGTTGGTAAAGCTTTAGATAAATTATTATTGGGTGAAAATATAGATAGTTTCAATATAACAAACGAATTAGAATTAAAATTTGAAAACGTGGGATCAATTAAATGGATCGTCTCTCTTTCAACTACCGATAATGTTTGTGTAAATTTTAAAAGTCAGAAAGATTCCAAAGAAGATATTATATCATTTAATATTAAAACTTTATTTTCATATGAAATTTTAAAAAATGAAGATTTGCTTCTAATAACAAAAAATGATGGCATACATGTATATTCAGTAAATGTTTCTGGAAAGATCTATCAAAAATTCAATAGTAATCTTTACGTTGATGATAAAATACTCGAGAAAAATATTGAAAAATTCACCAAGTTTGATTTTGCTCACGTAAAACTTGGTAATTTGGAATTACATATCCATGCATTCCAATATATTTTGGAGGATACATTAGCATTAGCAAAATATGGAGAGAAAATATTTAATAGAGCGACAGAGGAGAAAGATGGGTTCATTGCGGAATTAATTTATAATAAATATATCGAGGTTTATAAACAAAACCCCTCCACCAATCTACCATTATTGCGTGATATTGTGTTGCATTTAACAGGATTAAATACCTTTAATCCTGTAATTGTGGAAAAATTTTTGGAAACGGTTTCGATCATCTTGGATCCTAATTGCAATAAGATTTCTACCTCAACGGTTTCAGAAAAAAATTACATATGTGATGAAAACGAAGAAAATGAAGAAAATACGAAAAAGTCAAACAAAAATTTCATTTATGAAAAATTTTTAAAGAGAGAAAAAACTCAATCCAACATCAATTTGGTCGTTCCCTTTCCAAAAATTTATAGCTATCCAAAGGAATATTCATTTTGGAGAGAATTTTTATATAAACCTGAACCCAGTATATTCATTAAGATGAATTTGACTCAAGTGTACAATTATAATGGAAAAGAGGTTGTAGATTTCAAATGGAAAATGTTTGGCTTGAGATACCATATGGCAATATGGGGTTTTTTCATGTTATTTATGTTGACTTTTTCGATAGTGACGAGCGATTTTAGTGATTCTGCAGGAGAAAGATTTCCGTTTTTCATAATTATAATTATCTTAGGTTTAATTCATTTATTTTTTGAGATCAGGCAATTTATTTTTTATGGATTTAAATATTTTGGCGACTATATAAATTATTTAGGCAAGCCTATATATCCATCATTTATTATTCAAAGTTATTGATTATTATTTTATCCATTTGATTAATATTAATTAATTAATTTATTATTTATTTATTTATTTATTTATTTAGAGTTGACATCTTATATTATTCCCATAATTATATCAATTCACTGGATAGTTAAAGGAGCACCAAGCGTCACATTGATTTCTGTTTCAAATTTACTGTTAGATTTAAAATTAATATCAATGTTAAGAGTATTTCCATTTTTCGGAAAATACTTGATTCTGGCTTTTGGTGTGACCAAAAAAGTTTTTTGGTTCTTTTTCTTTTTATTGTTTATAATTCTTGTCGGATTTGCCCATGCTTTATACATATATTTAAAGCCAGTTGACTATTATAGTTTAGATTATCCCCCTTCAAGCATTGACATAAAAGATCCAAATAATCCGTGGAATTTGGTCACAAAATATTATTCTATCCTTACGGATGGTTCTATTAGTGCTGTTCCTACTATAATTCAACAACCTGATACAAGCACCAATATGTTTGCAACCTTTTTCTCATCTTTATTAGCAGTGTATAATTTCCTTACTGGTAAGATATTTTTTGATAGATCATCTATAATTGTGATTGGTATAATTATGCTTATAAAAAAAATTTTTTTTTATAGGTGACTCGGGAGCAATTCCATCATTACCACCGCTCGACTATCCATATTTGACAGTATTGAAATTACTATTCACATATCTTATTTCGATTTATTTGGTAAACTTGTTTATTGGTTTATTATCTATAGCCACTGAAGTTGAAATGCAATCTGACGGAGTCTTTTTAGAACAAAAGGCAAAGGTAAGTAATGTTTTTTCACTTTTGTTTGGAACAATAATTCATATAATGATGACATTAAAATGCTTCATTATTTGATTTTGAATAGGTGATTAAAGACATTGAGCTTTTTTATTTATTACCTCATCAAAGGAGACGAAAGGATTGGTTTCCTGATTTAATGTAAGTTTTTTTTTTTGATATTATACAATCGAAATTCATTATAGTGAAACTCACTACAATGAATGTAAGTATAAGTAAGGTTATAGTTGTAGTAGGTGGAGATGTTTCCTGATTCAGTGAAGTGTTGTGTATGAGGAGACCGTTGTAAATGTGTGCTTTGACTGTTAAAAAAAAAAAAGATAGATTATTTTATTAATTTAATTATTTTTATCAAGTACTTATAATACACCAGTTGACGAAATTCGTCGAAAGATTAATGGAATTGATAATAGTAAAGAACATTCAGAAAGTAAGCCATTCATCTCTGATAGGTTAAGAGAGTTGATTAACGTGAACAAATCAAACAAGAAAAAATATTTGGAAGAAAAAATCGAGGAAAATTTAATGGGGATGGAAGAAGAATTAAAACAAAAATTGGAAGAAAGATTTAGAATAATTGAAGATAAACTTTTTTCAAAAATAGAAGGGAAATTAAAACAAAACAATGATCTTATTTTGGATGAAATTCGAAAACTTTTAAAAGCTTGATATTATTAAAAAAAAAAACATGCGAACTTTGTAGCTTTGTGATGTATATTAATATTATTATGTTATATTATATAATCATTTTTAATGTTTGTAATATTTGGAATTAAATATAGATGGCTTTTACCTGAGTATATAGACATTCAGTACTGTACTATTTTGCATTCATGTATTCACTGTAAAGAATTACAAATGTTTCTCTTATACACAAAATTTTCCTAAAATTATCATTAACTCCATATTTAATGAGTTTTGAGATATTGAGGTTTCCGAGCCTGAAACATCTGAGAGATAAAGTAATAGTAATCATTATGATGATATTATCATATTTAGGATATAGGATCCAAGGATGTTAGCCGAAATAGTTTTTGAAAAAAAATAATTTCGGCAAGCAATTTGGATTTACAATATTCTTTATATCAATAGACATAAAAAAACTACCCAGAATTTTGGTTATTGAGTTAAAGTGTTCAAATAATTTCGGATATAATTTTGACAAGTAATATGTTGAGAGTTGACTAGAATTCAAGTAAATGAAATAATGATTAGACAAAATGAAAAGACAAAATCTTTATTTTTACTTCAATTGATTATAATAAATAGGTTATGGCAGCCAGAATAAATTTACCAAGGTGATCAATCTATCTACTCTTTTCCTTTTATTCTTCCTTCCCACACATAAATCATTTTTCTAAAATATTTAGGATGTCATATAAATATAGCTTATATTACACATCACTTCAATGATGATGATCATGTTATTATCAGTTATGATATGGATGTGGATCACAAGTGCTGCTGTAATTTATCATTTCATCAGAATTGACTTTTGTAAGTTTTATTTAAATTAATAAATTAATATACTTTGAAAAAAAAAAAAAGTAATTAATCCAATTAATTGCCATTTCCATTGCAGTTAGAAAGTTTGTTAATAGCTTCTTGTATAACACCAACTAATCTGGTAAGTTGATATGGAATTATTGAAAAATCTTATTAGTGCTTTTTAAAACTTTATTATTGCATCAACATTACACTATTATAGATTCTTGCCAACTCTGTCATACAAGGCTCATTTGTTGAGAAACACATTCCAAGCAATGTTCATAGCTAATGATGGTAAGACTAATAAAGTAAAATATATGCAAAAAAAAATAAAAAAAAACTTAAACTAGCCACAAAAAATTATTATCGTTATTAGGAATAGGATTTCCATTTATGTTTTTGGCATTATACCTATTACAAAGATCAAATAACACTGGTTCTGCAATAGCACAATGTATATATTTTGTTTGGCGATAACATATATTATTCTCTATTGTAATTGGAATTACAATTGGATGGAGTGCAAAAAAATTATTAGAAATAGCTGGATCAAAGTAACTTTAGGATTTATTTTGTTTATTTATAAAAAGTTAAGATTTATTAATTCATATGATTTTGATTTTTTAGAAATTGGATTGATAAAGAGTCATTCCTAGTTTTTGCTTTTGCACTTGCAGTAAGTTTTTATTAAAACTCTAATAATAGTAATAATAATAATTATTATTATTAGTATTTATAACTATGAATATGATTGTTTATTTATAATAAAGATATTTGTTGTGGATGGTGTTAGCATACTCAGCTTGGATGCTTTACTGCCTTGTTTTACAGCTGGATCTGTATTGGCTTGGGAGTAAGTATTTATATCAATATTGAATCTAAAATTAAGCAATTTAATATTTAATTAAAAACCACCACACAAACATATTTTATATTTTTGTAGTGATTGGTTTTGTCTACAAGAAGTCATTGATTTACTTCTCACCTTACAACTTTTGCATTATTGAAATGATAGTTCTATGATTCGGATATACTTTTATTACAGAGACTTGTGCCAATTAGCATCTTGATTTTAATTTTTAGTTAATTGCCAATAGTTCCAACACTCATAAAATTTATTCTGGCAGTTCACACATTTAAGGAAGCAATGTTTGCTGTTATTTTGACCTGATAGGTGAGGTGTCAATACAGTTTTTCTGGCTATGGCAATTAAAAATGAGGTTGAGAAAAGGGAAAATGATATGGATGCATATATAGCAAATCATACAAAAGATAATGTTGTCACATTTATTGTTGTCAGTTTAGTGGTAGTTCATAGTATTGTGGTACCAATACTTAATATTAGATATTGGATGACTTTCAACTATTGCTAGTATTAGCGAACAAGTTGCAAGACTACTGAAAAGTTTATCTGTTGAATGAGATGCTCAATTAAGTGTACATAAAAAAGGAAAAATGAGAGCTGAAATTGTTAATTTGGATGAAGTTGACAAAGATGATGAAGAAGAAGAACATGAAGAACATGAAGAACATCACCAACACCCACATCACAGAAGAAGAATTGAAGAGGAGAAAAAAGAAATTGATAAAAGTGGCAATTATGCAAAAAGATGAAATATTTTGATTGATCTTGGAAACAGTGATGATAAGGAAGTTAATAATCTTCCAGAAACAAATTATCAAGAAGAAATTCTTTAGAATCAGTCAATAATCAAAAGTAGTTATAATAGTAATAAATAATTTATTGATAGTATTTTATGAACAATTTACAAATATATATGCTAATATCGTATTTAGTAATATGATAATTATTATCTCATATTTACATTTATCTTTGATATTTTAAGTTATGAACATTTAATATAAACAAAATTAATTAATGTAAGGAAAAAAAGAAAATTTAGGTGTTATGAAAGTGATTGCATTGCATATAGAGTATTAACTTGACTTTTAATGTTATTGTAGACATAAAATCGTGGAATGTAGCTTTGTTTTGCAGAAATGAAAGATAAAAGTTAAGACAGCAAACCTTCTTGAATCTCTATTATTGAAGAAAAAGTTAAATCAATTGGCTTTGTAAGATAGCATATGTCAAAACAGCTCTTAAAGGTTTAATTGCTCATATCATCTTTATTTCTGTTGCTTTACTTCGAGTACTGGATATCACATAATTCAAAAAGGGTAATCTCTCCTCAAATATCACCATCGTCGATTTACGACCTATTACTTGGCCCTATGAAGTTTTTGCTCCAAAGAAACTAATCAATATGAATTTGCAATTCACATATGGAGGCTTTTCAAGATCCAAACATAATTTAATTGAAAATAAGATCTGTAAGTCAAATTTTACTATGCAAAGTGGGTATGATTTCCAATCCAAAACATTCCAAGTGAAGAGTTGTATATATTGATGGCATCAATTCAAATGTTTCTAAATTTACATATACATTTTCTAGACAAAAGTATTTGAGTTAAAGAATAATCTTTGAATTAATAACTAATAGTAATATAACTAATTGATTAATTAACCTTTTGATTAAATAAACACATTTTACCTTATTACGAATTTGCATAGAAGAGGAAGGGCCCTTGCAAATTGTTCCATGATCCTTTCCGATGACTAATGGTCCAGTCAAATATAATCCGGCTTTTACCCTAAATATATATGTTCTGGCCTTGCCCAATATATACCCCCTATAAAGCTAGCCATCGATCACTGAATAAATTACAACCTTACTACTTGAGGCACCCTACAAGCAATACAGTACAATCAAAAGGGTTCCTAACTAAGGTTTCTGGTTGAAACTCTCTTTATTAGTAGCTGAAATTGCCGTAACAACGGCAAAACTGAAACCATTACAGCTACTTCTCAGGACGGAAGAAGTCAACATAATAATAATAATAAAAAAAAAAAAAATACTTTAAAGTTGTTAAGTTAAAATAAGTTGATTGGTATAGTTTTTTTTTAATGTTTATATTTATAAAAAATGCTGAGAACCCCAAATTGCCCAAACTAGTTTAGGCTTTGAGAAAACAGTTTGGACCAGAAACCTTATTCCTAACTAATAATTAAAGGTTGCTGGGGAGTCTGAACCAACATAATTAGAGTCGCTAGAAGAGCTGGTGGATTGCCAGTATAAGTGAATCACATTAATATTAATTAACCAAACTCGGATCGCACGCTCGCACTATTATTGCCGTTGTCATAAAAAACCTTGACCAATTGTATTATTATTAACTAAAAAGCAAATGAGAGAAAATTAAATCTCAAATAGCT